AATTAACATTACATTAAATTATTTTAATAACATCATCCATTTTAAAGATATTTTCTAAATGTTAAATTTGTAGTCATTGGGAGTAAGTAATAAATAACTTTGCTTTCATTAAATGCATGTTATAAAATTATAAATAGATGTCTAGATGAGTAGATATCATATTTTTTTTTTGAAGGTATAGATCTTATCATTCTAATACTAATTACGGTTCTGACTAAAGATAAAGAAAATAGCGGGGTAATATCGTATGTGCCTACTCTAATTTTCGCTGTAACGTAAATTTATTTATTCTTTACCTATTTTAGTTGGAAAGAATATTAGAAAGAGATATAAGAGACGAGTGTGGCAAGACCTCCGAAAAATCGAAAGAATATGAAAGAAAGAGGAACGTAGTTGTCATCTTTATTTCATCCTTTACATACCCATGTGCTTGACACAGCTATGGCACACATTTACCATTAAAATATTGACCTCTCATTTTACTCAAATAGATCCACTAAGATTAAGTTTCTATCTTTTCAGTTTTAATCCCACCTTAGTTGGAGATTCCTTATCCATTCCTTCAACAATCAATACGAAACTATGTAACTTATATCATCTCTTAGAATAGTAGATTTGAGCCTAATTCAATCTTATAAAATTGATTTGTAAGGTAAAAGTTATTTTTCACTTATATACTATTTAATTGTCTAATCTCTAATCGATGTGAGACTTGAATTTTTCCCAATACCATCATATAATATTAATACATATATTGTTCAGGTCATTTTCATTCCTAACTTCCTACCCACTAATTTCAGTATCTGCTAGCTCTTTTGCTAATGTGTGTGTTAATATCAAAATACTTTGGAGTTTAAACCCACTTATGTATATTGGGATAACTAGGTTTGGAAATGGTTACTCCACTGAAAAACAAACTATGCGCATCTCATTAAATTCTGTGGCTGCAATTGTCTCGTATCATGATTAAAAATATTCAAACTCCATGGCCTAACAAACCAGAAGGCTCCACTGAATAAAGCAAGTGAGGAAAATGTTTTCTTAATCTGTGAAATTCTAGTGGACAATTATGATCTCGAGAATGAGAATCAATGGTCGATCCTAATGGCTAATGATTGATATTAAGAAGCAAACAGATTATTAGAATGGTAGCACGTCTTAAGGGAAGCTCAATTGATGCGTTATTTAGGTAAAATATTAAATTATATCTGATTCTGGGAATATCCAAAATTAATTTGTATGTTTTGTGGTTCACAAGTGGAATGGCAATGATTGTGTACGAGGCTTCAATTCAAACTTATAATTTATAATGTCAGTGAGAGGCAAGAGTTTTGAGGTAATAGTCATTTTGATGTCTCTGATTTATTTTATTTTTATTTTAAATATTCTTAAAGTTGTAAAAGCTTAAGCTTCACTTTAATTTGTTGGTCAACAAAGTTTGATGTTATTGGGCAATAAAGAAGTGGGATAATACTGTTTTAGTTTTACTTACGAGATAGTCATAAAAAAGAAATACTGTTTTAATTGTAGAAAGATTTCATAATAGACACAACGAATAATGAAATCTAATTTATAGCAATGGGATTAAACTTAAAAAGAGACATTCTGTCCATTCCATATACGACTAGGAAAAGTATAAGGCACCTAACACGGATTGTTAGATATAAATACGTATTATTGAAGGCCAAGATTTTTCTCCATTCAGGATGACAGGGGGAATGATCTAATTTTTTTTATATTCATTCATGGAGTATCCATTGTCGAAGTAATGACTAATCTCTTTACTACGTTAGAGGCACCTCAAAAAGTGAGATAACTGACCCCTACATTGGAGGCACCTCAAAGAGTGAGATAGCTAGCCCCAAGTTTTAACATGACTGTATATACAAGGCAGGATTCGAACTCCTAATTTTGTTTAAGCGTGGATCAACCCTTACCGCTGAACCACACGCTTGAGGTTGGGGAAATGATCTAATTTAAACCGCATACAGAATGAAAAGTAAAGCTAATTATCGGTCTACCATCGAACTCGATCAGATTGAACTTCCCTTATCACTTGTTTATATTGGCTCTTCAATGCATCATCATAAATTAATCTTAGTTAGTTAAACTCCTAATAGAATATCTTGACATAAACATCTTTTAAAATATGGCAATTAAACACATTATGTTTATTTGTAAAGAACAATATTTTTATGCAATCACTAGAATATATATTTAAGATATCACACAACATTATTTCTGAACTTAGAAATAAAATTAATCATTTATACATAAAACATCATATATTATTATCCTAATCTTATTTTTAACTTAAGACTCCTTTCTAACTTGAACATTGAAGTAATTTGATAAAAATAAATTAAAAATATTTTATACAAGACAATTTTATGAACTCTTTAATATACTCTTACATGTGCGCGTAATAAAAGATAATATCAAATAAATTATTCACAAATTTTTAAATTAAGTTTAAATGTGTTTTAATATATCTTGAAGGAGAAGAAATAAGTTGTGTTGATCAAGTCAATCCGAACCTGTTCAATAAAATACAGAAATTGAACTTTAAATTTAGTTGACTATTGGCATTTTCAATCTGATTCAATGAAAGTTGTATCATAATTAGGTTATGGACGAACTAATTTGATCTATCCGTTTTTTTTTTTTTTTGAATTTTCAAGAAATAAAAAAATTAAAATAAGTCTAAGAGACTAAAATTAGTTACTGATTTACTATTTCAAACATTTAATTTTTAACATAAACTTTTTATTTGATTTTGGCAAAGGGGACTTTCGAAGTTAGAATAAATGTTTTCGAATTATATTTTGATATTTTGAGAGCACATATATTTAAGAAGTAATAAATGTTAATTTGTTTGATATATTATTTTGCCATGGTTACCTACAAAGTTACAAAAAAGTGTTTTCAAATTATATTTTATTTTTTTAGTTATGTATATTTACAATAGTATAAGACCTTACATCTATTTACAATATTTACGTCTTAAAAATTACTTAATAGTTTTGTTTTTTCAAATTAAATAAGAGAATAGACAATATTTATAAACAAAAAAAATAGTAGTTCATTCACCAGAGCTGATTATGAGCAAATTGTGCATAAAGTTGAGTTGAGCATGGGTTGAATTAAAAAACTTAAACAGAGAGGCTATTAAAATATAAGGAAAGGAAAGGGAACTTTAGAGAAAGGTTATTGAGTGGGCCGAATATATGAAAGGGCCTTTTATTTTGTGAGTGTTGGATACTATAGCTATTAGCTAGTATGTGATTTAACCTCACTTATGTGAGGCAAAGTGAAGCCATGTATCCTTTTGCTTGTTTCACCAAGCAAAGTAAGTCTTATCACTGAAATGTCCATTGGCGTGGGGTGCTTTAACTTGCACACACAGATTTCCATTTGGTATGGAAAATCTTTGATGGGTGAAAAAGTTAGAAAGTGAGAAAAGAAAAAAAAGCACGAGTGCCTGTATATCCTATCAGCCAACTTAATGGGGGTCCAATTATTATTTGAATAAGCTGTTTCACTGATTGACATTACATGAATAAAGCAAGACAAAAAAAGAAAAGAGAAGAAAACAACTATGTTTGATTAGCTTAGCTACATTGAAAACCATACTCCACAACTCTTTACATTTTAAATGTAGTTTATAAATTTATGACGGAATCGAATCTCGGTGGTCTTCTCTGGAGCCAAACTTTCTTATCCATTTCATGCACTACAAATAAAGTAGATATACCAAATAAAATTAGGAACATTATGTGAAACGAAATTTTACTTTATAAAATGTCCATTCTGTTTTATTTATATATTTTATTTTTGTCATATAACAAATTTGTAAGATTAAATTTATGTAAGTGGTCTAATAGTGGATGATGTTATGAAATTTATAGGATCTCTAGAAATAATCATTAATATATATTATATATTATCTTAAGAATGTGTGTTTGAATTAAATCTAATCTTATAAAATTAGTCTGTAAATTAAAATAATAATCTAAAAATTAGATTATATTAATAATGAGGAAGGTTGGATACAAATTAATGGATAAAATCAAATCTTCGATATGATTTAGGTGATAATAAACTAATAATTTTATTGACAAATACTTAAAATGGTTACATTTCTAATTCTTTATTGTTGAGTTTGTGACATGTAATATACTAAGTAGAAATAACTCGTTCTATACATTAAATTTAAATGATTCAATTAACGAATTAAAAGTTATTAATGAATAGATCATGTATGTAAGTTTTTTTAAAATTTTGAAAACTATTTGATATTCTATTTTATTTTCAAAATTAACATATAAAATATTTTTGTGATTATCTATCAATTTGAATTAATGAAACAAGGTATTAAATAATTTTCAGTTTTTTTAAAAAATTTGTAGGTTTGATTTATACATTAATAACTTTAATTTAATGATTAAATTATTAAAATTTGATGTAGAATAAATTCAAGTAGACTTACTATTGAAATAAGTGAATCTCCCCTCTCCTTTCTTTCTTTCTTTCTCTCTCTATATATATTTTTAATTTTATATAAAAGATCCCATATACTCAATTTTTCATCAATAGTCCATTTTGATTAATCCAGAACATGTTTAGATTTATATAATTTTAATTGGATATAAATCAATAAAAGCAACAATTAATTATTTTATCAATTTTGATATAATTTTTACTTAAATAGACATCATGAATATGAAACCAAACATGCATTAATCTTTGCATTTTGTAAAACATATTAGGACAACTTTTTAGTTCCCTTTTAAAAATGGAAAGATATGGAAGGGAAAAGAGGAATTTATTTACTATTATTTTGAAATAATTAAATATGCAAGCTGTTTAAAAATAAAAAGATTAATATATTTAATTTCGTATTTTGTGTATCTTTTTTATTTTGAAGGCATTGGATATTGATTCCTCTAAAATATGTACGGGGCTTTAAGCTTTTAGCTTAGGCCCAAGAAGCGAGCCCATTGAGAAACGTCTTCTCTCCTTTGTTAGTGGACGAGTGGGAGTGTCCCTGGAATTGAATCCGTTTCAATGGCGGGTTCTTCGATCATGGAGAACCTCTTCCAGCGCACGCTGGAGGATCTGATCAAAGGCATGCGCCTCCAGCTCATTGGCGAGTCTACCTTCATCTCCAAGGCCACGGAGGAGATCCGCCGCGAGATCAAATCCACCGACCACCACACCAAATCCACGGCGCTCCTCAAGCTCTGCTACCTCTCCGCCGTGCACGGCGTCGACATGTCCTGGGCGTGCTTCCACGTGGTGGAGGTCATGTCCTCCTCGCGGTTCGCGCAGAAGAGGATCGGCTACCACGCGGCGTCGCAGTCCTTCCACGACGACACTCCGGTGCTCCTCCTCATCACCAACCAGCTCCGCAAGGACCTCTCCTCCGCCAACCACTTCGAGGTAAGCCTCGCCCTCGAATGCCTCTCCCGAATCGCCACGCCCGATCTCGCTAGGGATTTGACCCCCGAGCTTTTCAATTTGCTCTCCACCGCTAGGGTTTTCGTTCGGAAGAAGGCTATTGCCGTCGTTTTGAGGCTCTTCGATAAGTACCCCGACGCCGTCAGGGTTTGCTTCAAGCGCTTGGTCGAGAATCTCGAGAGCTCCGATCCTCAGGTTGTCACTGCCGTCATCGGGGTTTTCTGCGAGCTCGCTGCCAAGGATCCGAGGTCGTATCTTCCCCTGGCGCCCGAGTTTTATAGAATTTTGGTTGATTCTAAGAACAATTGGATTTTGATTAAGGTGCTGAAGGTGTTTGCTAAGTTGGCTCCCTTGGAGCCTAGGTTGGGGAAGAGGATTGTTGAGCCTGTTTGTGAGCATATGAGGAGGTCTGGGGCGAAGTCCTTGGTGTTTGAGTGTGTTAGGACTGTGCTCACTAGCTTGAGTGGTTATGAGTCTGCTGTTAAGCTCGCGGTCGAGAAGGTTAGGGAGTTGGTGGATGATCAGGATCCCAATCTTAGGTATCTTGCGCTGCACGTGCTTTCGGTTGCTGTGCCGGAGCACTTGTGGGCAGTGTTGGAAAACAAGGAAGCGGTGATTAAGTCGTTGAGTGATGAGGATTCCAATATCAAGATTGAGTCTCTGCGGCTGTTGATGGCCATGGTGTCCGAGAGCCATTTGGCGGATATATCCAGGGTGTTGCTCAATTATGCATTGAAGTCTGACCCTGAATTTTGCAATGAGATTTTGGGCTCCATTTTGACGACGTGTGGTAGGAATGTGTATGAGATTGTTGATGACTTTGATTGGTATGTGTCTCTTCTTGGAGAAATGGCGACGATTCCTAACTGCCAAAAGGGGGAAGAGATTGAGACTCAGCTTGTTGATATCGGCATGAGAGTTAGGGATGCTAGAATGCAGCTTGTTCAGGTTGGGCGGGATCTGTTGATTGACCCTGCGTTACTGGGTAATGTGCATTTGCATAGGATTTTGTGTGCTGCTGCTTGGGTTGCTGGAGAGTATGTTGAGGTTGCGAGCAATCCTTTTGAACTCATGGATGCACTCCTACAGCCTCGTACCAGTCTCTTGCCACCATCAATAAGAGCAGTTTATATTAATGCTGCTTTTAAAATTTTAATTTTTTGTCTAGACTGTTACCTTCTGCAAAATGAAGGTACTGCATCCTTGGATTCTGGTAACTTGGCTGGGGGACAGTCAGAGTTGTTTAGTGTAAAAAATGACACTGAAGCTGCTGAATTGGCAACATGTGAAGGTTCAAAGTATGAACAGGATGCAGGTTTTAACCCGAGGAATACAACTGAATCTTTTGATGATCTTTCTGCTGAAAATGGCATTGAGAGAGTTGCCACTCATGATCAAACAATAACACCTACATTCGTGGAAAAGAAGAATTTCATGCATGAATCCATTGTAAACCTGTTGAATAGAATTGAGTTAATTTTTGGCCCACTAATAGCAAACCAGGATGTTGACGTGCTGGAGAGAGCACAAAACATGCTTTCCCTTGTTCTGTTGATTAAAGGAGAAAATGATAATTCATTTCAGGATGTGGACAAGAAAGATACTCGAGTTTCAGCTATTATCAAATTGATGCGTGATGCTTTTACTATGGAACTTGGTCCAGTGTCAACAAGTGCACAAGGAAGGGTTGCTGTGCCGGATGGATTAGTTCTTAAAGAGAATCTTGGTGACTTACATGCAATATGTGGTGATATTGAACTGCCGTCATCAAGTTCGTTTTCCACAGCAGGCCCTCACCTTACCGCTACTTCAGATGCTTCTTCATCTAATCCTCTGATAAATGAAGAGTCAGGGGCATTGAATGAATCTACATCCTTGATTGAACACCGTAAGCGGCATGGATTATATTATCTTCCTTCAGAGAAGAGTGAGATTGTTACAGATGAGTATCCTCCTGCAAATGATCCAAAGTCAAACAGTAATATAAATGATGAAGCTTCAGAGCTAGTCAAGCTAACAGAGCAATCGCTTCTTCTGAAGAAAAGGACAAACCAAACAAAGCCTAGGCCTGTGGTGGTGAAATTGGATGATGGAGATGTGGCACCAATATCAGTCCAAAGGCCAGAGCCAAGGGGTGATTCTCTTTCTGGTGCCATAAAAGATGTTCTTCTCGGAAGCGAAACTGGGCCAAGTATGTCTCAAAGTAATCCTTATGATAAGTCATCAAGGAAGCAGAAAGAGAAAAAGAAACTAGGCACAAATGTTCAGTCTGAAATGAAGGAAAATGTAGTTGATGCAGAAAAGCCCGACTCTGAAAATCCAAATTCAAGTGGCAAAAATCATGGTCATACTAGAGAGAGAAGACACAGAGGAAAAGAGAAGATTGTTGAGGGGGAAGAGCATGATCAAAGGGGAAAGAAAAAGAGTGGCCACCGCCACAGTAGGCGAAAAACTCATCAAAGAGCAAAGTCACCCTTAAATGTGGTTTCCCAAACACCAGAAATTCCAGATTTTCTTTTGTAGTGTTAAATGATTGATTGGTTTTGATTTCTCATCACCTGTTGTTATTGACTGAGGCTGTTTACATGTTGTATTCTTAGTGCTGAGCCCTGAAGATAGTTCTGTAGATTTGGTATTTTTTTCCATTGCTCATGGTTTCTTATATCCCTTCTTTGTTGTCTGTTTTTGGCCCTACATGTCACAAAATGAACATATTTAAGACGCAAAATTTTCAAGTTTGATGCTGTTTGGCAGCCCTTTTCTTGATACATGAAGGAATTTCTATTGAATCTTCTGCCATTAAATTATAGCATTGTTTCTGGAAATTCTCATGGTCTCAGCATAAGCTGCTTGAGAAACTTGTGGGTAAGTGCTTCTTTTTACTATTCTGTAATATTAGATCAAAATGCTGAATATTTTTAAATTATTGAGGCTGGCATTTTGACTTATCTGATTCCCAACCAATGTATATTGTCATTATTGTGGCATTTGGCGAAGTATTTCAAATCCTGTAAAAAAAAAAAAAATTACAGCTGGCAAAGTATTTCAAATCCTTCTGAAATTTATTATCAAGCAGTCTAAATATTGAAAGATAGAAGAGGCAACCATTAGAAAGATGAAAGAGATGAGATGATGTACAAGTTTAACTTTATATAATAAATATTACAAACATTCATACTGTGTCAGGATAAGGTGTATTAGGGGAGAAATGTAATTTTAAAGAGGATTCAAAATCCTTTCCATTAAAAACTCCCTGTTTTGGGTATTTAGCAATACCAAAAAAAAAAAAAAGAAATTCCATTAAAAACACCCTGTTGTCTCTCCTATTTGAACGGCTTGCATCTCAATTTGCCCATGGCTATGGTTTTTATTTTTTATTGTCTTCACAATCTTGTGGTTTCACAAACTCTAGCATATTAATTGAGACACTCATGTGAAATCTGTTCTAGGTTTTCATATTCTATGATTTTGTTGATTTCTATTTTAAGAGTTCATTTGATATTTTAAATATTTCTGTTCTACAAGGTTTTTTGGCTTGCTTGTCCTAGATAGCTGCTGGGTAGAGTGAAGCATCAAGTTAAGTTCTCCATTTCTTTTGGTATGTTAGTTCTCTGCTATTATGAAATGTATGGTTTCCTTTGTGTATTTTTTTTTAATGTAGCAGTTCTACAGAAAATGATTAAGCCTGTATTGTAGTTTGATTGTTTATCCTTCTTTTGATTGTAGTTTAGTAAAATGCATTAATTGTAAATTTTTTTAAAGTGCATGCACTCTAATTGATTAGGAGAAAAATAAGTATTAATTAGAAAAGAAAAATAATATAAGACATGCACTCTAATTAGTTAAAAGATATGAGTATTAATTAGGAAAAAATAGTATAAGAGTAATTTTACAAAAAAAAATATAAAAAGTAAATTTATTGTTATCGATTAAATTAACTATTTTTCTTAATTTTGATGAATTAGATAATTGAGTTTCATATATATATATATATATGAGGGGGTTATAATTATACCGGTGTAACTTTTACTAAGTATTAGACCGCTCAATAACTTTATATTAAATGTGAATTTTGTAAATCCAATCGTTAGATTGAAAGATCAAATCTCTTAGATCATATATACAAAATTTTATATTAATCCAAGATGATTTGATACTTCATTTTTTATAAAAACAAAATTAACGTAATATATTCATTTCAAAATACACTAAAATATGAACACTTTGATTACCTTTAAGTTGTTGTTCAATTTTAACCAAATTTGATATACACGTATAAAGTGACATGAACTTTCAATCTAACGGCTAGATTTACAAAATTCACAATTAATATAAAATTATTGAGCAGTATAATACTTAGTAAAAGTTACATCGGTGTAATTATAACCCTTATATATATATATATATATATATATATATATATATGAGCG